AGATTGTCTTAAGAAAAACCGAAGTGTTTTTGTTTTTTTTTAAATGAAGTGCATTCAGAAGTTGCCTTTATTGTTTGATTGATACTAGATGGACTATGGTGTGTCAGTGAAAATCTGAAGACTCTTCTGGGCATTGGTTGCCACATTCTGTAATGGAACTATAAGAAACTTTAAAACTGCTACGCTTTTTTTAATAATCTCTGATACAGCTTTTATGTGGGCATGTTAGTTTGTGCTGCCATTCCATTTCTACTTCTTGTGAAATAGTGCAGAAGATATTCCTTGTTGTACGCACCTGGTAAGTTAGCACCCAAGCACTACTGTGTGAACAGTAATAGTTTGCTTAATATGAACAGCATTTTGAAAGAATCCTGAAAGTTTTGTACAATCCAAGAATCATGATCTTCAATTGTTATAAAACATAACCACTGCATTGCTAATGGCACTAAAACTATAGTATTTACTGAAATACAAGATGATCCTGAATATAAGACTACCCCCCAGTAAAGATTATATGTATGGAAATGTATAAATGTGTTTATAATCAAATTGGAGGGTTATCGTGAACCCTGCCCTGCCTCCTCCCCCAGCTACAGCAGGAAAAGCAGGGGGGGAGGAGAGGGGAGGGGAGTGGCTCCCTTGCCTTGTGCCCTACTCATTTCTTCCCCCTGCAGCTTTCTTGCCACTGGCACACCTACCCCAACTCCCCACGTGCTCCTCCCCCCACTCCCTTCTTTTTCTCCCCCTGCTCCCCCCAGTCTCTCCCTCTTTCCCCCTACCAAACTCTTCAGTCTGCCTCACTCCCCTCCCATGCAGCTTGCGCTGCTCTGTCCTGCAGCACAGCTCATGGCACCTAGGCCCTTGCCTAGCCATGCAGCACTGTTGGTGCTGCTGATTGGCTAGGCAAGGTAAGGAGTTTCCATGTGCTGGGTGTCCCGGAGAGACACCAGCCCAAGCAGGAGCTGAGCTGTGCCTGACAGTAAGTGGGGGAGGGGGGCAGAAGCTGTAGAGGGGAACCAGAAGTGGTGGGCAGGAGGCTACTGTGGGCCTGACTCTGGCCTCGCCCCAGGCTCAGGGCCAGTGTCAGAGCCACAGCAGCTGCCTGCTCCTTCCCCTCCACTTTGTATGCAACTATAAGACAAGGGGCTTTTTCCCACATGCTGACTGGGGGGAACCTGGCTTTATATTCGAGTCAATATGCTATTTAACATGTCATCTAGCACAGCTGTTGTGGTCAGACCTACTTTGTCATGGAGAATTTGTAATGCAATGGAGGGAAATGATGATTATGGCTGTCCACGAAAACAAGCAACCAGAACAGACAAGAGATTGTTGCAGGATTTCTTTTCTTTCTTTTTTTTTTTTAAACAGCTAGGGAATTAGACATTTGTTCTGAAATGTTCCCAAATGTTTGGGCCAGAGGAAAATGGACCACATAGACATAACTAGGGCCATGTGCAAATGTGTCTTGCAGGGGCAACGCGTAGGGGGTGCACACGGGGGCACATCCACGCCCTGCAAAAAGGCGCCACCGACATCTGGGTTCTCCTGGTCTGGGAGCAGAGTGGGGGCTAGACATCTGGGTTCTTGGGAAGGGAGCTGGTGTTGGTGAGATGGAGCTTGGAAGCCTAGGACCCTAACGCACAGCTTTCCTCCTCCACCCAGATCCCTCCTCTGCCCTCCTCCTGCTGCTGCATGCCAGGACTGCCCAGTAACACGCAGAGGTAATGCAGCAGGCTGCAAGGGGAAACCATCACCCTGATCCATACGCTTCGTGTGGTCTCAGCTAGCTGTGGCTGGTTCAGAGCTCTCCCATCCCCTCACGTCAAGCCAGAGAACACAGGGGATTGCGTCCCTGTGGCACCCACTTCAGATGCCATGCACCAGGAGAGCGTTTTACATGGCTCAGTTGCAGGCAGGAGCTGGAGAAAGTCTAAATTAACCAAACTTAGCCCTGGTTAATTAATATTTTCCTACAGTGCCTGGTCTCCAGCTCAAGGCTCTCACCCAGCTGTTTTGCAGCCCCCTGGAGGAGGCTTGGGTCCCCAAGCAGCACTGGGAGGGGGATTGGCTGTGACTGTCCATGCTTTGTCCGTTCTCTCAGGACCTCTGCTGGTAGAGGCGTGGCGATGCGTCCAACCTCTGTGAGCTGCTTTAAAAGTGCCATATGCGTTTACCACAGTGGTGTGATTTATTTTGACATGTTGAGGCACAATCTGAACTGCAACAACTTCATTATCTGGTTTTACACCAAGCTAACATGCAGTGACATTAAATTCTTGTGTTGTGCCTCTTGGGAGATTCTTTTGCCTGGTGAGACTTCCTCATACTCACAAACACAAACAGGATTGCCTCCTGCCTTGTAACTCAGAAAACCCTACCTGGATTTGCTGCACGTGTATTACTTCTGTTGCCTGCTTCCCTTTCCATCTAAAAATGGATTTGTTCTTGTGGAATAGAATAGTATTTCCCAATATTGCTTACTAACTTCACTTGCCAAAAAAAGCTCAGATGTCTTTCCTGACATAATAAGCTTTCAGTGTGAAATGAAGTATTGTGATAAGTTTCATAATTAATTGGGCTGAAAATCCAGCTGTTTTATTTGTAGTTTGCTGTAATGATTCCCTTAAGCTGTTTTGCTGTTATATTTTAACAGCAATTCAGTGTAGTGGGATATAGTTTATATAAAAGGGAAAGAAAAGATGAACATGTGTGTTTGTGAAAAATACATTTGGCACCAGCTCTTCATGTTTGAATAAGTGTGGAAATAGTGAATGAGGTTGTGGTGGCATCATAGTTTTCATTTGTTCAAATTACCATCTCTGTACAGTTCACCATGTGGATTTTTGCACAGCCTAGAGTTAATAAGGATGCTGAAGTGAGACCAGAGGTGCAATGTGCAGAGCTGTGCTAGGAAACCTTGGACCTGCACCACTGCAGCCCTTTCCACTTCTGGAAAGCAAAGCTGATTCCAGAAGCTCAGATTAATGTCTTGGCCCAGTTCACCTGTTAAAAGCTAGCACTGTTCTTACAGCTGTAGGTGGTGGGGTGAGTTGTTATATCAGGTACCAAACCTAAATACCACCCCCAGAAAAAGGCTGTTACATGCTAATTAGACATTGCCAACGTTTTTGTGAACTATCTAGACAAAACTCTGGCATCTAGGGCTCTGTTTGTTCTGACCCTCCCACCAGTATGTGGCTAAAATATAGTATTACACAGAAGCACCAGCCTGTTTGTAGGAACTATAACTGATTGTGTCCACAGCACCTAGTACTAGGGCTGCCAAGTGTGAGGTAGTTCTGTAACAGAAGCATAAATAGAAGTAAAGTAAAACAGCAAAATCCTACAGGAAAAGTCAAACTTATTGAAAGGCCTAATGGGCCAACAGGTCATTCATGTCCTACAAGGTACAGAACCTTAGCTAGGCATCAATTTCCTAGATGCTAGGGGAGGCATGTATTATATGGGCATGTATAATAGTGTTTGGTAAGAGGCACTGGGTAGTGTGGTCCCACAGTGACCCTGTAAATGAGATCCCAGTAAAAGGTTTCAGCTTGGGTAAGGGAGAGATAACACTTTGCCACCTACAGATTTCTTTTCCATAACTACCCAACACTCTCCATTCTAACCCACCCTACATATAAAAGGACAGAGTGCAGTGACATTTAAAAATAAAAAGGTACTGTGCTCAGTAGCTAAAATGAACTGATTTAGGAGTTATCTGTAAGAGTAAAGCTTTTTTTTTTCCAGTTTTGAAAGCATGTTGCCTGAGTTATGTTCCAAGGGGACGAATCAAACCCTTTGTGCAGTGTCCTGACAGGTGTGGTTTTATAGGAGAAGCTAAATCATCAGGTATCAAGTTTATTCATCTATCGCTTTCATAACCATAAAATCCTTCATAGTTTCATAGTTGGTAGGGTTGGAAGGGACCTGAGCAGATCATCAAGTCCGACCCCCTGCAGTAAAGAGTACTGGGGTCAAACGACCCCAGGAAGGTATTCATACAGCCTCCTTTTAAAGCCCCCCAGGGTAGGAGCCAGCACCACTTCTCTTGGAAATTGCTTCCAGATCCTAGCTGCCCTGACAGTGAAGTAGCACCTCCTGACGTCTAGCCTGAATCTACCCTCTGCCAGCTTGTGACCGTTATTTCTTGTCACTCCTGGTAGTGCTCGGGGGAACAGGGACTCCCCCAATGCCTGCTGGTCCCCCCTGACTAGTTTGTAAATGGCCACTAGATCCCCCCTCAGCCTTCTCTTGTGGAGGATGAACAGGTTCAGGTCCTTTAACCTCTCCTCATAAGGCCTGCCCTGCTGACCCCTGATCATGCAGGTGGTCCTCCTCTGGACCCTCTCAATGTTGTGCACATCCCTCCTGAAATGCGGCGCCCAGAACGGGATGCAGTACTCCAACTGCGGCCTGACCAGTGTCGAATAGAGGGGGAGGATCACCTCCGTGGACCTGCTTGAGATGCATCTGTGGATGCACGACAAGGTACGGTTGGCCTTCCTGATCGCGTCCCCACACTGTTGGCCCATGTTCATTTTGGCATCAATAATGACTCCAAGATCCTTTTCTGCCTCTGCACTGACGAGAAGGGAGTTCCCCAGCCTGTAGGTATGCTGCTGGTTCTTGCTTCCCAGGTGCAGTACCCTACCCAATTGTCAGTGTTGAAACCCATCCTGTTCTCATCCACCCACCTCTGTAACCTGTCCAGGTCCGATTGCAGCTTATTCCTCCCTTCTAGTGTACCCATTTCTCCTCACATCTTAGTATCATCTGCGAATTTGAACAGGGTGCTTTTTACCCCCTCATCCAGGTCACTGATGAAGATGTTGAACAGTGCGGGCCCGAGGACCAATCCCTGGGGAACCCCACTGCCCACATCCCTCCAGGTCAAATAAAACCAGTCTACCACCACTCTCTGGGTGGGGCCCTCCAGCCAGTTTGTGATCCTTAAGTGGCTTGTATTGGGTGTGGAGAGAAGATTTAAGGTAAACTTAGATACAGATGCAGCAGGAAAGTGGTGACTGGGTTTTATTGACTTAGCTGTTTTGTATGCATCTGAAGTTTCCTTTGCCTTGAATATGTTACCTCCAGTGTGTACCAGATTTCTGGCTGTTCAGTATGAAGTGTAGAGCTCAAAATTGGATGTTTTAGTAAAAGAGCTACTCTAGTTCAAACAGGAATGAATTCAGGGATGGCCTCTGGTCTGTATTAAACAGACCAGACTTGGTGATAACTGTGGTCTCCTCCTGGCCTTATAGCTTATAATATTCATTACAAATACTGAGGTATAATGTTATCTTAGGCAAAAACGTTTCACAGTTTTTATGGCAATCACTGTACCATATTGTCTTGGAATAAACTGAATAGTGTGGAAATTACCTTATCTATAGAGAGGCAGATGCGAGTCCTGAAGTCTGGCACAATATCAGGTGCTAGTTGAAGAATTTGGCCCAAAGTGCAGAACATTGTATATAAGGCCAATTTTGGACACCAGATTAAAATCATACTGGTTATTTAAGGCCTATCTGTAATTAGAATATAGTATCCATGTAGCAACGCCACATACTAACGTGCTTTATGTATGCATATGATAGTAGAAAGCAGAAAACTGACAGTATTTTATATAATTATACAGCAGGAGGTTATAAAATTGTCCTTTTGCTGTAGAACATTTGCACAAGAGAATTGTAGAGCATATGCCATTTACTAACTGTAAACCACTGTCTTCTCAGCTAGGATACAAGCATGTGGTTAATATCAGTCTTACAGTAATATTTATATTGAGTAGACTAGAGCTTAAGTTGTCAACATACATCATGTAAGCAATTGAGCTTGGTTTCTACTACCTTCCATAGTATTTGCTACTTGTGTGATTTGTCATTATTGACACTGTAGTCCCCCAGTGAGTGACTTGTCAGGGAGCAGGATCTGCCTTAGCACTTGGTGAGTTCTTGTGGTAGCTGGAGTTTGGCTTTGGATTGTTCCTTCTCTGACCCGAGAGGCACGTACCTGGTATTTCTTTTGAAATACTGTTTCCCCTCAGTTCTGTTTGGCCCTGCAGTTTGGATACATCATAAAAGTTAGCCAAGCAAAAGAAGCACATAGCCTGATGGCAGTTGTCTCTGCTCAGGCCTTCACTGACTTTTGTGCCAACAGATGGCATTTTCTAGGCCTGTGAAGCAGTGTAAAATATGCAGTGAGAGCTTTGTGGTCAAAGTAAACGCCCATGTGTTGGGTTTGTTACAAAATGCTCCTTTAAAAGAGGCTAAATTAAAACGGGCTTAATTGCAGCACTTACATTGAGTGGGAACTGAAAATGTTGCTCACTATACACATGGTGAATCTCTGCCATTTTCCCAGCTACTGTTGTACAAATTTTCTTCTCATCCTTTCCAGCACCAGCTTTTCTTCTGGTTTGCAGTCTGGAATCATGCTGGCACTCTTTTCTGCTTTCAACATGACTGAAGGATGTTTCTTTCTGACTTTCTCTAAACCAGTGTGGGTGATATTCCGGCAAAAGTCCACATGGAGCGTGTGTAAAGAGCCACCGTAGTGGGTCACTGCTTCCAGAGTCTGATCAGTGATACGCACACAGTTTTCCAGTTTCAGTATCTTGAGATTTGGGCAGCACTTGAGCAGCAGCGTGAGGTAATAGTCTGTGACATGGCCACATCCAGACAAGGTCAGGGACAGCAGGTTGGGGCACCTGGAAATATGGTCATTGATGTACATGAGATAGAAAAATATTAGTCTACAGCATTTGCAAAAGGGATTGTCAAAATCAAGTTGTGGAAAAGGCAATAGATGCAAACCCTGGCTGAAGGTAAGTTGGACCCTATCTGAATGAGAGGAGGCTTTCTCATCTCTTCAGGAGGAAAGTCTGGTAAGGAAACCTTTTCTTCACATGTGTACACTGAAAAGGTAGAAATTAGTCTCAATCAAAACACCTTGGCTATATGGTGTGTATATATAGACTTTCTATAACCCAGAAAAACCACCTCAAGAGGGAGGGAAATAATACAAAGCAGTTCTGCTTTTTAAGCCACTGCATTATAGAAATCCAGGTCTAATAAATACAGATGTGTAGAGTCAACTTCCCTAGTGAGTATTGTATAATCCCTGCCCAGGTGCAAGTGCAGAATTCTAGGAGGGTGTTCCTGCCAAATGCTAAACAAAAAAGCAGTGTTGTTTTTCCATGTCTCCTCTGCCAGCCTGAAAGTGACTTGCCTAGTTTGCATGCAAACTTAGAATATGGTAGCAGCTGCAGTTTGGGACAGGTGACATTTTTGCAGGTGAGCCTTTTACCAGGTACCAGATCCCTTTACCTGAAGGGATGTTACTTTCTTGATAGCTTATGCTAAGTAGTTTGAAGTCCCTGGTTTTGTTTTCTCATTTATTTAGTTAAATTGGCTTAGTGACAAAGCCAACAAAGGGTCCTTTTAGGCTTTGTTGTGCAAAACTTTTGTCCAGCAGTGGGTGAATTACTTTCCCAGAGCCTAAGCTTAGCTCCATCAGTCTTTCCAAATGAAGTGCCATCCCTTCAAGCTTTGAAGGAATTGTAGAAGTCATGAACACAGACAGTGTAAAATGGCCCTGGTCACATTACTATAGAGCAGCAGCTGAGTTAGTGATCATGCTCCAGATCAAACACAACCCGCTACTGCAGTGAATTCCCCATAATGCCTGCCTGCTTCATCTTTGCAAGGAGGCAACAAAACACGATCATATCAGCAGGGAGACGGATCCTTAGATGCTGCTTTGTTGTCTGCTCCTGAGGCTAAAGCAGAAAAGGGGCTCTGGAGGAAACTCGGAGTGCTGCGTACAAGGATTTGATTTGTTCCTGCCCAGAAAACTTAAGGTTAAGGATGCAGACACTTCACTGCTTTGTCGAGATCAGTAGAACTGAAACGCTCAGCCCAGGGAGTGCAGCATGGACCTGAACTTCATTCTATGTATTTATGCTGTTGCCATTTTCTGTGTGCCTGTGCCCCAAGTTTTTTGTATTGGCATAACTGCACTGGGGAAGTTGTTGTAAGTTGTCAGCGGGATGGAAGAATAATTAGGGATTTGTGAATTGGGGAAGCTAAAAGAGTGCCCAACTGTCGGATAATTCAGTGCTACTACAAACTGTCCTTGCTAGGTTTGCAAGAAACAAGGTTTGGTAATATCTTCTGTTGGACCAGCTGTGTAGGTGGGAGAGATGTTAGACAAGTTTTGAGGCCCAAAATGTCTTTCCTCAGATCTGGAAAAAGAAAGACACAGCCTAAGCTAAACAGTAGGTAAAACAATGACTTTCGTTTAACTCCATGAAAATAGTCACTTGAAGGGGAAGAAGGCAGTATATTTGCAGAGCAAAGAGAAGGCATCACAAGTAGCTATAAACCAAGTAAAAGGCAGCTGAACTAGGTCAGCCTAATTACATAAGAGACTAAAAGCTATGGCCTAAATGCATATAATAGCACCCCATATGAAATTAATATTCTCTTCCCTCGTCAGTGGTCTTAGTGTCCAGCAAAGAGGTGAATTGTTGTTTCCAGGTACACTGTTTGTATGTATTGCATAGGTTTTGCCTTGAGTGCGAGGCCTGGGAGGTGGAATGGTTAGGTTTCAGAGTGAATTTACTGAGATGAGCAGGCTTGAGTTGTCAAACATTGGTTAGAGTCACAAAATCAAGTCACCTTCAATCCAGCAGGATTAGGTGGGAGGAGAGAGGTGTGAATGCCACTGGCACTTAAATTTATGCTGGCTTCTGAGAGCTGTCTAACTCCCTTGCACTGCATGAGGACACCAAAGGTACCTGTTGCCACAGGGTTGTGAATGTTATTAGGTACCCATGTGCTAGGTACTGCACAGCTGAGTGCTACATCACCTGTTTGTCCCCTTAGATAGCTTGCCCGTAATTTATGCATTTAAAAAAAAATAAGCGGTGCACTGTTCTATGACTGGTTTGGGGAGGCTGCTGGAAATACCCTGGGTGCTGGAGCAGCAGAACTTCAGAATAATTACAATTTGCTCTCAATCAATTGGCTAACAGCAAACAGAGCATTGGTCTTTAAGAGCTTGTTCTAGGACAGCCATCTTGAACAGCAGCACAAATGTTGGATGCTGAGGGTCTGAAAGTAGTGCTGGTCTCCTCATCTGTCCACATGCAGACCTGCCTCTGCCAGAAAAAGTAGTAATATGGGGATGACTTTTCAGTCTTTTGATTCTTGGCTTCCCTGTAGCTCTGGCCATGTCTCACCCGACTATGCTCTCCCTTGTTTCATGTACAATACAAATGCACAACTGATGTGAGTTAAAATCTCCCTCATTACTATAAATTAATTATTCCCCATGGTCACACTGTCTTCTGCAGCCCTTTATTATCTGAGAACTGCAGGGTCCACAGTGTAAATGTGCCAGGGGTCTAGAATGCTAGTCTTACCCATAGCAATTCCCTGCTACTATCAAAACGCACTGGCAATGGCTCTGCCTCTGCTGCGCTGGTGTTCAGCATTTGAGCTGTCCCAAAATACAAACCCAGTAGAGGGGTTAGTTTGCACTGAAGGCTGCTTTTTTCTCGGTATTTTCTCTTCATCTGTTTGAGCCCAAAAGCACTGCACACACAGCTCAAAAATATTTTATAACTGCTGCACCTTAGCATAACCTGGTGTTATTATTTGAGGCTTAGTCAGCAGGACACAGAGTAGCATGATATAAAACTTAGATCCATCAAATATTTGTCATTCATGAGAACTTGAATTTGTTTAGTGAATTTATCACTGTGTCTTGCAGCTGCCAGATTTATTTATAAAGAACAGTCTCTTTTGCATAGGGCCTCAGGCTTCCTACGAAGAATCTGTCCTATACAGAATAGCACCATTAAAGCCTTTTAGCATGCAGTGACTAATACCTTGGGTCAATGAGCGAGAGCCAGGCTGGAGGAAGTCAAGTCAAAATCAGTAGAAAGACATGTTACATTTGCACTTAAAGCTGGGGGTTTTCACATGTAACAACATAACCTTGCTCCACAGTCAACACCATTTGCATATGTAAAGCTCTGCACGGGGAACTATTAGTGTTCAATCTGGTAAACCCGAGCTTGCACGCTAGCTGTAGAACATACCTGTTGCAGACTTGTAATAAAAACTCATTGACGGTGTTTTCATGCTTGCTACAAATGTCTTTCTGGAATGAGCTTTTCATCCAGTCCTCAATGTTACACACTTTGACTCTGCTTGAATGCCAGCAGATGGACAGGTACTTTAAAGCTGCTCCCAAGAGAAAATTATCCTTCTTCAGTTCCACGGGAGAATGAAAACTCAGCAGGGACCACAGGGACGGATCCTGGAACACCTCAAGCAGTCTTTGACATGTCTGTCCTAAACTTTTTCTACTGCTTTTGTCCAGGAATGAAAATAGATGCAAAAGGCACTCTCTGTTCAGCTGGGTTATATGCATAGCACTTAGAAACTTGTGCTCTCAGCAAAAGAGGACAGTGTATCTGGCACTGTGGGCTAAAAGCAGTACTGCAGGGGCCTGACCCGCCTGTCCTCACCAGGCTGTTGCACATATATGGTTGTGGAATGGTGTTTATTTTTGGCTGGCAACTGGTGCAGAAGTTAAAAACTGGGAAAGGATCAGCGACCCATGTGCAGCAGGCTGTTACTCTGTTTCTTGTCCTGGAGAATGGAAAGCCATAGAGAAAAGCAGAAATGGGCTCAATCTAGTGTTTCCATAAAAGGGATTATTTTCCTTTCAGTCAAGCCTGATGTTTAACACAGGCCTTGTACTGCTTGTGGTGACTGCCCAGTAGCCAAAGCTGCAAAGCTCTGCTCCCCTCTCTAGTTTGTGAGCTTTGGCATTCAGTGAAGCCTTCAATATGCTCAGCTGTTAATTTTCTTAGAATATTCAGTAACAGTTAAAAAGGCCCAGGGGCTTGTGTTACTACATCTGAGGCTCAAGTCCTGCGCATTATTGGTAACTTCATTAAAACAGTCAAGCTACCCAGGAAATCCAGCAACACTGGCTTGTAAAACAGACTTAAGTGAGACGCTGAAAAAAATAAGTCTTAAACTATTGATAACTGATTTAAATGTTCTAAGTACATCAAGTCTAGTTGCCAAAACTTTAACAGTCAGTGATTGTTCTTGCCTATTTGAAAAGCACGTCTCATAAGCAAGCATGTCAGTGGCAGGCTACAGTGGAATATGTGGCCTAAAAACACTCCCCTTAAAACCTCTCTCAGGGCCCCTCTGCAAAGGCATAATGGGATTTAATATATGCACCAGACAATTGCACCTCCTGCCACGCCACGCCACGCCACGCCACGCCACATGAGCACGGCAGGAAGCGTGGTTGTAGGATGAATCATTGCATCCCATTGTGCCTTACTGCCTGTGCAGGGGGAGCCCAATCCTGGGGTCCCCTGTACCAGCAAGAAATAAGCTCCTGCAACTGGGATCCCCCTTATGAGCCCCCACCCCACTTTTCCAACTCCTGTTCCCACTGCCAGGACCCAGCCACATCCCAGCTTTGGGGAGGCACATTTCTGAGACCTAGCTGTGTGGTGACTGGGGGGTATTGCTGGGATGCTGAGTCAGCAGCTGTCAGAGCTAAGTCCTCTCAGTTGCAGGGCTCCCAGCCCTGGCTGGTATGGGGCACCCCTTGCAGCTGGGAGAGCTCCCAGCTGCAGGGGAGACCCTGCTACATGTGCAAATTCAAGCTGCTAACTTTCAATTTGTTGAGCCTTTTTACTTTGCCCGTGTAGCTGGTTTCAGTTATTGTTCAGTTAACCAGCTCATTGTGCAACATTGGTGACATGTAGAGGGTGTCCCTGTTGTGCCTTTACTTGCACGTGTAGCGGGACCCTGTGATAAGTTTCAAGGGGAGTGTTTTTAGGCTATATATCTACATATATATCACTTCAGAACTCCAGAAACATGCCTGATGTTTCCTATATTTCTGCATGCAACTCTCAAGTTTCTGGATGACCATTTCCCACTTAGCCATATTAAATTCTTTGAGCTAAAGACTTACTTCTACATGTCAACTTTTTGCCTGAAGATGCAAAAAGTCAGTCTTTTTTCCCCATTTAAATGAGGTAGAAATGTTAAAATGGTCTTGTTATTTGTGCAGCCAAGATTAGAAAACAAACTGAAAGCCCTTGCAACAATTAAATGTGGTGGTGATTTAAGCAGAAACCAACTTTAAGTCTGTGGTGGCTTAGTAGAAGGAATTGGAGAAAGATGGTGGGTATCATTTAGCTTGACTAAAGAAATGTTAGAGCAGCCAAAAGAAATAGGTGGCTACTGAAAAGATCACATCCATGGCCAAAAATGGTAGCAGTGTCCCACATAATGCATCCGTTAATAGTGCTGTTCTAGCAACTTTGTGTGTTGTGAAGGGCTTTTGTGGGCCCTGGAGACAATTTAATTCAAGTTTGTCTTCAGTCAAAGCCATTTTTAGCATAAACAAACACTATCATAAAGTGCACACGAGTGACTCTGAAGGCAGGACCAAAGAATGTTTTTAATTGGGGGAAAAAAAAGCAGTTAGTAAGGTTGTTTCCTATGGGTGACCTGCAGTGGAGAAACCTTCCACACTTGACGTAGCGCCAGAGTAATATAAAAAAACAGGTTACAATGAATGCAGGGCTGAGTTTCTGAAGCAAAAGTGACAATACTGAGCAAGTATCTGGAAGCCTGGGGCTGCAGCATCCAGCTGTTTGTTAGCTCTTACAAAATAACTCGGTTGTCTCATGCAGTGCAAGAGCTACAAGCCTAAATGTGCATCTTCTATACGTTTGATGTAAACATAACTCATTAGCATTTGCACTAGATTTGTTATAGTCTCTAATGGATTTTTTTTAAAGCTGATTCAAAGAAATCTAAAGTGCCAAGAAACGCATCTAAACTTGCATTTTATAAAGGTTTGAATTGGGTTTTGTTTTCATTTGGGAATGATGATAATACTGATGGGTCAAGTTAAATACCTCCCTAGGAACTGAATTACCTCATTGTTCTGGGAAACAGGGACTTCCAAAGCTCTAAGCTGTTTTTGTTTGGTGTCCTCTCTTTAAAGCCATTTCTTGTGTGCACGGTACATATATTCAAACAAATAAATCAAGGAAGTAGCAGAGATATTACTGGCTTGGTGAGATAATTCAGTCAATGCTTTAACTTTTGTTGTAAGATCATAGCTACTTCAAGCACATGTATCTAGTAGTTTGACACAAACCTGAAAGTTAAGTGTTCTCAGTTGATTTAAGGTATTTATCAACTGTGCTTTTAAGCACCATTTCATTCTCTATGGTTTGGGTGGGAGGGGAGAGTGGCATCTGTCCCAAGGCAACTAGGGCTGCATTTTTTTTAAATGGGAGACTGGAGTTATCAAAACCAGAGAATGGACAAAGGGACAGTGGAGCCTATTTAGCACCTGAAACTACTTAATGTTTTGAAATTGCCATTAGCCAGAGAGCTGGTCAGTCATTAGAAAAATGATCAAGGTAGAAGGTGAAGAGTCATGGCCATTTTCAAAGTGACACTTTTTTTTTTTAAGTTCTAGGTACCCTCATAAGGCAACTTTGTCCTAAAACAATTTCTTGAAATCTGAGGCATACCTTACCTTTGCGAGGAATTTAAAGCAAATGTTCCAATTTATTCACATACCAGAAGTTCAGCTGCTGCCAAGTTACCCATTCCAATACTTATACCAGAAAGGGACAACTGCTACAGGGTACAGAGCTTCCTTTCAAGCATGCATGGACTGTTCATTTACATGGTAAACTAATGAGTGCAATCTGATCACTGCATTATGGTGGAAGTACTTTTGGAGTGGCACAGCTGAGTTATTTAATCTGTGCTCCTGTGACTTCAATTCTTATTCAAACGCACAGAATATACTTAATGCATCAACACTGACTTCTGCTTATAGGTACCGAACAAAAGTCGTTTGCCAGGAAGTTGTGCCTTAGCATTTTACTAAAATTATGCAGAAGAGAATATGTTCTTAATGTATTAGCTATTAACTAGCTGCTTCAGCTGTTGCTTGAAAGGAGAGCTGTATAAAAGGAAGAGAACCCCTGCCCATTTGCCCTTAGTTATGTGACTGAATCTTTGCCAGCATTATAATGTTCCAACTTCAGACTCAAGGGACTTTTGGAATCCCAACTTGCCCAGTAGAGGCTACCCCAAACTCTTTTACCCATGGACATTAACTGTGGCACATGGGTGTAATTTGCTATGTAATGTTAGTGGAACTGACTGAAGGATACGAAGGAAGGAGTGGAAGCAGATCTGATTTTAAAGAAACTTTTGCTAGTGTATTTTTCAAAAAGCAGTGGAGGAGGAGGTAGGGCTGGGAGGGGAGTAGGGAACAGCTTCACCTTGAGTCATGGGGGACAAATTCTGAAAGCTTGAAAAAGGATAGGAAAAGTTGCATATTCTAGAGAGAGGAGAGACTTTAATGGCACATTTTTCATTAAAAAAAATAAAAGAATACCCCACCACACTTGACTCAAATCACCCCATTAATGCTCCAAACACAAGAGATTAGCACAGTCAATGATCCTCAATGAAACTTGCACTCTAGATTTTAATGGTAAACAATTACAGCTATGGCACTACAGTACGTGAGGGTATCCTAAAGCACATTGAAATCAGTTTAAGGTGCCAATTACCTCATCAGTGAGACAGAGACACATCAGTAATGAAACATCCTTGGGGAAACTTGAACACAAGCATCACATTTTCCATCCACTTTACAAAATCCTTACAGATGGCCTTGTGCCTTTGATAAGTCCACCTAGCCCCAGCTGCCTTGGATAGAGCCAAGCCTATACCATTGACATCAATGATCTTTGGGAAAAGCATCCTCTAAGCATGTTTACAGAAGGAGCCCATACTGAAACCGCCTTAGAGCATTGCTTGGGGCAGCTCCCCACCCAATGCACTGCAGTAGGAGTGTTGGATTGGGAATGCTGCAGTTCTGTTTCACAGATTAAATTTCCAGTTGTATACATGGCAGAACAATGAACAATACAAGGACAACCTTCTACTGAGCAAGTTTGAGGGGAAAAAATATGCAAGACTGAACTGCAGAAAGCAATTGTTGCTTGCAAAACACTCTCACCAGCTGGACATCCCTGCCAGTTATATACACGAAGATCAGCAGTGATTAGAAAAGAAACTGACTTGGCTTAAATGAAATAAAATATCCCTCCCCTCCCAGAAGCCAGTAGATAAATATAGGCTATACAAGTAAGGATAAAAATTTAATAGTAGGCCAGGTGCAGTATATGTTACTGGTTCAGTGCTCAGTTATTTTTGACACTACACACTGAATAGAATACAGTGTATAAGCAAAGTTCTCCACCAGGAAGAGAAATACGTGTGTTGCCACAACAAACTGCTTATACTGTCCATCTGTGTTTGCAGTGGGAGAGAATTAAATTAGGAAAGGATTTATGAAGCT